ATTTTTTTGTACATATTCGCATATATTCGATCAACACCATGCCAAGCCTCGTGATAACCGTCCGACGGAGCCGGACGACTCACTCCACCGTCTTAATGAACGGCTGGGCCGTACGGACTGTGGGCTATCCGTCCCGTCTACCGTCTGGCGCCGACGGGACGGTTGAACACGCTGTGTATGTGTGCTTGAAGAAAGAGATAAAACCGACGGTCTTTTGCGAGATGCGCAATTTGTGCCCGCATTCAGGTCCTCAACCCTCAGTTTCCTTACCTGACGAACTGCTCGGCGTCTGTCTAAACGCCGCTATATAATCCCAAGGCGTTACCGATGACTTTCCAATCGATACTGGCTCGTCAGGAGGGTCCTTGGTCATGATGGTCATGATAGCGTGGTGCAGCTCCTTGTCAGAGAGTGTATAAGAAGACAGAGGTCGCTCTCTGGGAAGATAGGCGTCGAGGGCTTCCACCTCCTGCGTCTTCTTCGGGATAGCCATAACCTTGCTGGGGATGAAGTAGCAGGGTTGAGGATCCATGGTAACATCCGGTGGAAGGATTTCACATAACAAAAGGTATGGGAATTTCTGATCCTGTAGGTCTTGTGCTTTTACGGTCGAATGGCGGGGGTGCTCCCTGCTGTAGGTATGGTAGAGTAGAATGGGAAGACAATGAACCATGGCTGGATCCATGACTTCATGATCGAAGCATTGGGGAAGACGGCCGTTTTCGGAAAACTCTTTGCGGTCCTTGTCACTCCAGGTCCAGTCAAAGAAGACAAAGTTCGGGTTTCCGTCTTCGTTCAACGGGCCCAAGGGAAGAATCATGCCTTCACCCGTGGACGAACATGATTGGAGCATAGCTTGATAAAGGCGATCAGGAGCTGAGCGACCGGTATGCAGCAAACCTTCTAGTCTCTTGTCCACCTTGTTCTCTTCGGTACCCATGTTACCATGCTCGCCCTCGGCGTTACTCTTGCGGATGTCGGACGTTTCCTTGGGCAAGACAGGAAACATTTGATCAAACCGATCGAGGTCAAGAGGATTCGCATATACCGATATGATGTTCTCCCAGACGTGCTTGAACCAGTCGTCGCGCCTGAGGTCGACACGGAACTCACTGAGTTGTGCCGAGGGAACCTCGAGCTTTGTCCCCACACTCAAGGCCCATTCTTGCTGGATCTGGCTCGCGGGTATCCAATATCCGTATCCTTTTCCTCTGTTGATAACCCAAACGAAGTGGACGGTCCGATATGGGTGGGACTTGCCTTTCTTGAGTGCGTCCTTGCCCCAAACAGAGTTGTCAATGATTATGTTCGGGCCATCCTCGATGACTGAATCGTCCTCCATAATCACGCCGAACTTTTCTTCATTTGGACCAAGCAGGAGAGCATCACCGACGTATGGCAGGGCTTGTATGAAATCCCATGAGACACCTTCGACTCCAGAATCCTCGACTCCCATATCGAAATGGGCCAGTGCGCTAATGTTTGGATCATCGGCCATGGTTGTTATATTAATGTAACCGATATCATCAAGCGATGTCAGCTTTGGTTTCCAGTTGCGAACCACCACGCCGGTGAAAGGAACGACATAGTCTCTGAGTCCCAAAGCTGCATCACGGACATTCTTCATTGCGTCGCGTAGTAGCTCTTGCGGAAACGTGTACGGTTGAAATAGTGTCGGAACTGAACTCCCCCGCTGGTATTGACTTAAGGGTCCGGACATCTCGGCCACCGCAGTCTCGAACACGGTCCGCGGGAGAAGCGTAACATATCCAGGCTGAACATGGGAGACGATGACAAGGAACTCCGTACGTTGCTTTTCCTGCTCTTCCAATTCGAAACACCAATACTTGGTGGGCAGCTTGTCGCTTAAATTCTCGTCACTAAGGTGTAGTGACTTGACGGCGAATGCTAACCAACTCAAACTTCCCTCATTAGTCCTGGTCCAATCGCAGTCGTCAGAAGCCACTTCGTAGCGATCCTTCCAAGATTTGCCCGCGATGTCCAACTTTTGTCCACAGTAAAGAGCTCCGTCGACTCCGCTGGACGCCATAAAGCGTACGACTTCGGACTCTAAGAGATCCCGAAAGACACCATGCTTCGCCTTAGTGTTTAGACAGTGGGAGCGTAGAACTGTTTCTACTTCTTGCTCCACAGCGGAGAACATGATGGAGGTGCTGGTACTGGTGGTGAAGGTTGTGTTGGCCAATGAGACAGGCCGGAATAATCCTAGAGGGTGGACGGTTTCTGCAGCGAGATGACGGCGTGAAGCTTCCCGTTGACCGACCAAGGTGTACGAGCGACCTGCCCCAGAGCAGGTCACGCCGAATCCCAAAAAGCCAGAAGTAGCTCTCAAAGTCGCAAAAGTGGCAAACCAACAACAGCTCAGAAAGCAAGTTGAAAGAGTTGCAAAAAGACCAGCAGGGGAATCATAAGCCCCTCCGTCTCGCTAACCCAGACACTAACCTGTTTACGTAAGGATATCACCGGTCTTAACATCGGGTGGTGTGAAAGTGCGCATTGTCCCTGACGCTTGCACTGCATCACCGAATAGGAACAGACGCCTCTGTATGCTCTGCAGCATTAAACTACCGTGAGTTTCCCTCGCACCAGCGTGCTTGCAATTCGTACGCGTAAAGCTCACAGCAGTGGAGGCGTCCGTCGTCACTGATCGCTCACAGGCACACCGGATAGCCCACAAAGACATTTCTACCACTACCCGGTTCCACCCCCGTCCAGGCAATGTATGGCACCTACAAAAGGTCCAATTATGTCCATCTCGGCGGAAAAAACAACCACGACCAGGCTCTCCACCTACTTCCTACCCCTGTAAAACTCTTCCTGGAATACCACACCTCACTTCAAAACCCCACACCCTCAAATCAGTTTCAAGCTCTCTACAGTCCGCTTCACTGATTCCTCCAACCCCGTCCACCCCTCCCTTCCAAACTCCCTCAAAAGCTGCTCACCCTTCTCATTCGGTACCTCCACCAAACACCTCCCCAGCCCCTCAAGATCGTCCACAAACTTCTTCTCCGGGTACGCCTTACGCAGCACTTCCAAAACAGCATTCCAAGTGTACGGCTCCGAGAACGCAAATATGCGCTCAGCGTCGACATCGGCCCGCACCGCCGCCGCCAAATGCAAGACGGCCACATCCTCAACATCGACAAACCACTGCGGCCGCACCATCTTCGCAACCTCCTCCACCGAGCCGTTCACCACCATGGCCAGGAACCCAGCAGTGCTAGGCTGCCCCTGCGACGCGGGCTCCGACACCCGCCCGAACACCGTGCTGGCGAGCACGACGTTGAAGCGGAAGCGCGGCCGCATGCGCCGCACCCAGTCCCAGGCCGCGCGCTCCTGCACGACTTTGCTGGCCATGAAGACGGCCATTGTGCGCGCGGCCCGCGCCTCCTCGTCTGCGGCATTGCCCTTGCTGGCCCAGTCCTCGTCGTACGCGGCGCGCATCACGTCTTCGTTCCAGCTGGTGGTGCTCAGCTGCTTGGGCACGTCCGGCTCGGGCGTGTGCGTCGCCCATGCCGAGCCGGTCAGCACGACGCTCTGCACGACAGGGTTGCGCGAGGCGGCCTCCAGGCCTGCAAGGATCTGCGCTTCGGTCATGGGGATCAGGGCGGCCGGGTCGGTGACGGTGAAGCTGGCGGTGGTGGTGGTGAGGATCAGGGACGCGGCGCCAGTCAAGAGCGGGACGTAAGCGTCAATGTCGGCAAGGTCGGGGATCTCAACCAGCGTGAACGTCCCGCGAGGGGGGTGGTGCGAGGACTTGGAGTCGGAGGCATCGTCAGACGAGACGAGCAGTTTGGTGAAGTACTCGCGCAGCCAGACGCAGCGGCTGGCGTCTCGCACGCTTCCTTTCACATGGTATCCGGCTTTTATGAAGGTAGTTGCGATGCTGCTGCCAATGTAGCCGTTGACGCCTGTGATGGCGATGGTGGAGCCGGGACCAATGGAGATCGAAGGGGTTTGTGGGGTAGCCATGACTGAGAAGAAGCGATGGTGCTGTTAGTAGTGTGGATGAATGCTGCTCTGGTGGATAAGTGAACGAAGAAATCTGCTGGTGCGATTGCGTGCGCCCCTTTTATCTTTTATACTTGTATGCTAGCGGGCTAGCGCAGGGTTAAGTGGGAGGGTTGTCACTCGGAGAGCGAGGCGTCCAATACGGCGTTGCTGCCTGGCTGGCAGGATGCATGGGATGTGCTTCACGGCTTCGTATGTTAGGCTCACGTCAGCGGGCGTTGATGGCTTATCCGTGAGAGTGTAGCCAGGTGGGACAGCAGGCGGATACACATTTGCTTGCGATGTTGTGTCTGTTGTGTCGCGACGTGATGAAGTCCGATGCTGGTGTTGGAAGCGGGGGCGGCGGGGTTGAGTACGGTGACGTCATGCTGTACGACGTGCACGGGCAAGCAACATTGAATGGATTGAACCTCTCAAAGCACAGAATAGATGTTGAGAGTGGACGGATATATCAATTTGTCGGCGTTGCTTGGTCACTCGTGAAGGCCAACAAGCTACCTGATTCAGTTATCGGTAGCTTCGTCAGCTCCCAGATATTAGCCTTCTCAGACGAAATACTTCGAGGACATGAGAGTATTTGAAAAGATATAAAATAAACAAGTAACAAAACCCAAGGTTTTTATTAAAGGTTTGAAAATAGGGAGATGGAGGTATCCTCGGGCAAGAATGGCGTATATAACCAACCACGAGATTTCTACGCACGAAAGCCTCTATGAAGGCCGCCGGAACGCTCAGTTTCAATCAGCAAGAACAATCCTATCAACTCAGTGTAAGATGGACCAAAAGCGACAGTAGACAAAAAAAAAAAAAAAAAAAAAAAAAAAAAAAATCGACAACTTCATATTATGCTCGAGAGTTTTACTTCGCGCTACTACTACTTCCATGTCAGTCTGTTTCGCCTCGTGATGTTGCTAAACGTCACCATCATCCAGCGCTGGTGCTGGTTATTGCCGTATCATGCTGTCGCCCTACCAACTACGGGAGCCGTTATCATGCGGGCTTGATGTACTTTTCTAGTTCCTCATTTGTTGCTTTCTCCGAGAGCGTCAAAACCCGCACCACAGGTTTGCTTCCTTGATGAAATCTGCTCGATGCTTGTCGTGCTCAGTAAGTACCGGGTAAGAAGGTCTTTTGAACATTCTGCGAGACCAATTTTCAATACGGAAAAGCGGGAATACTAACACGAGAAAGACAACTCCGTCACCTCATTGAGAATAAACGATTGATAAACTGACTGACTGACTGATATCCCATACCCAACGCCATCTCTTCTAATCTACTGGTTATCATGAACCCGCACGCCCATACGGCGGTACTCCCTAAGCTGTCCACTTGAAAGAAACCCAATCAAGCCCCTAATTATACATGGTATATCCACCTCTTCTCTCTAGCACCATCTTATTCTTCCTCTACGCCGCCATGGGCGAGTCCTCCCGCTCCGACCGCGCCGGCCACTTCTCGCGGCGCTCGGCGCGCACGTACAGGTTGTTGGGACGGATGAGCTGGAACATGGGGTCGTACTGGACGGCATCGTTGCCCTCGCGCGTGAAGCGGTAGCGCCACACCAGCTTGGGCAGGAAGACCTTGATTTCTTGGAGGGCGAAGTTGAAGCCGATGCACATGCGCTGGCCCATGGCGAAGGGAATGTACGAGCCCTTGGGGCGGTTCTTGACCGCATCCGTGTCCCAGCGGTCAGGGTCGAAACGGTAGGGGTTGTCCCAGATGTCGGCGTTGTTGTGCAGCGCATGAAGAGCGGGAATTACAATGGATCCCTCGGGAATCTTGTATCCTCCAGGCAGAATGAGGTCCGTCTTGGCGGTACGGCCGGGCTGGAAGCTTGGGTTGTGGCGACGTTGCGTTTCCTTGATAAACTTGTCGAGGAAAGTGAGCTCGTTCGTCAGGTCGGCGGTAATCTGCGTGTCATCGGTGAAGCCGTGGTCGACAAGCTCCTGTAGGAGCCTGTCCTGAACCCCCTCATAGGTCACCATACTGTAGATCAACCACGACAGCAGCGAGCTCGTCGTGGTGAAACCAGCACCCGTTGCCACCAGAAGGGACGGCACCAACGTCTCCTTGGGCATCTTCTCGCCCTTGTTGTCCACGGCGCGGATGGCGTAGTCGATCATGTTGTTGGCCTTCAGCGCCGCGTCCTGCAGCTCCAGGTCCTCAACACCACCACTCTCGGCATTCCTGACCGACTCATAGATCAACTCCTCGATACGGGCCCTCATGTCGCGCAGGCGCTTCGGGTCTCCGAATGGCAGCGCAGCGTACCAATTGCCGCGCGACGTAACCTTCTTGTTCAGCGACAGCATCTCGGCGATCAGACGGATCATCTCGTGCAGCGGAGCATCGACCTCGTCGAAGTGGCTGAAGTCCATACCCAGGACAAGCTTGCCGACGGCCTGCGAGCCCAGCTTCAGCATGTACTGGTAGACGTTGAACGCCTCGTCGCGGCGGTCGAGCTCGTCGAAGACGCGGAACGCATCCTCAACCGTCTTCTGCATAGTTGGTGCATAGTGGCGAACGGCCTTCGGGCCCAGAGCGGGCGGTAGGAAGCGATGGGCGGCCTGCGGATTTCATTCTGTTAGTATACACGTTCTGAGATGCGGACGTGGTGTTGAGATGGTGGTGGTCGCGCTAGCATCCACTAGCGCGGCCGCCACCTTCCTGCAGATGATCGCGATGCGTCTTTCGAACGTCGCGATTCTTCCTGCCGCTCAACACCTCCACACATGGAGTTGACTCACCTTCCACGCAGGATGGTCCGTGTCGCCAAGGAACACACCGGCCTCCTGGTTCTTAATGCCGTACAGCGGGTGATCCTCGGTGATCTTCTTGGTGAAGAAGTCGCTCTCGGCGAAGGCAATGGCAGAGATGGCCGGGTCGTTGGTCTGGTACACGGTGCGGCCCATGTTGGTCGTCTGGAACAGCGGGCCATACGTCTCGAACATGCGCTGGTGGTTGCCCAGGTGGTCGGGGTAGACTTCGAAGAAGTTTCCTACGTAAGGAAGGCCCTTGGGTCCAGGAGCAGCGCGCACTTGTTGGCCATCGATGGTGATGCCAATGGGCTCGTTGACGGCCAGAAGGTCGGACAACTCGGTGAGTTGTGAATCGGCGACGAGGAAGTCGATGCCTGAGTTGTCAGCACCGCAATGCTTCATCATGGAGAAGGCTCGACTTACCACTGGGCTCGACAATGGCAAAGTGGGCGGCGACGAGCTGCCTGAGGGCGTCGAGGTCCTGCGAAGCATCGACTTCGACTTGGCGGGCAGAGGACACGGCCTCACCGAGGAGATAGAACTGCTTGGGTGACATGGCGGATACAAGCACTAGGGTGGATGGCGAGAGACAGCAGCGCGCGCATGGTGTATTATATTGGCCATGAGTTTGGAGAGGCCTACCGGCCGCAGAGACCAAGACGACACATCACGATTGCTCCTCGGCATAGGGTCCCTTGTCAAAGCGGAGGCGATAGATTAGTCTGGTTTGACCACGACTCGCCAATTCTTGGAAATGGCAGCCGTCTCCCTCGCTCCCGCGCTCCCGCAGAGCCTCGAATCCTCCCTTCTCCAGCCCTTCCACTCCTGACGACGCGCCGCCACCGACGGCACCGACGCCCCACCGGTGCGCAGATCAACCTCGGCATATCGTAGATCGGGGACGTTGACTAAACCGGAGCCACCGCCGGACCTGTGCGGAAACCCGTTTCATTATCCACCCCTAGGCCGGCGCATTGCGTGCCCCCGACGCCACATCTCGAACGGCCTCGTTGAGAAGTTTCTGCTCGGTCCTCGGCCGCCTCCTAACTCGGCCGCCTTTATTCGTCCACGCCGATTGCTTGGGCCGACATGCCGCCTGTACCGGCCGTTGCTCGCTGTAATCCCCGGCGTCGCAATTGGCCATCCGTATAATATGACCGCAATCATGGGCTCTCTGGGCATTGCTCCACCGTCGACGTGTCGCTGCTCTAAATTTTGAGGCCTACTCCTTGCTTGACCCTCCTTTTCTTCGTGGCTTATTTTTATTCCCTTTTCCTCTGTTTTCCCCGAGTAAATCAACGTCACACTTTATCATTCACAACATGGAGTCAGTACCCGAGACGAAGGAGCTCAAGGCTCAATGGAACACCGAGAAGGAGCTCCAGCAGTTCACTGCCAGCGATGTCGCCGCGCACAAGAGCAGGAATGACATGTGGATCGTCATCCACGGCAAAGGTGCGCTGCCTCGTCGACACTAGTCAAAGACATTTGCTCACGCTCCACCAGTATTCGACGTCACCAAGTACCTGGATGACCACCCGGGTGGTGTAGATACGATTGCTGAAGTGGCTGGAGGAGACGCAACCGCAGCCTTTGAGGGTAAGCATATTCATACCTATCGGAGTACGAACTGCTAAATTGACAATTTTACAGACGTTGGACACTCTGAAGATGCCACGGAAATTATGCAACCGTTCTTGATCGGCACCATGAAGGACGCCCAAGCCTACGTTCGCCCGCAAGCTGTTCGCCTCGTCAAGAAGGAGCCCCAGGCCGCGCCCGTTGTTCCCGAATCGCACGCTGTGCGGAACACCGCCCTTGGCGTTGTTGCCCTTGGCGCTGCCGGATCCGTTGTTCTTTCCCGGACTGGCGCCGCCGTCCCTCTGCAGGACGCTCTCTCTAGCTTACCTAGTCTCTCTCCCACCTGGCTCCCTAAGATCAGTCTTCCCAAGGGTGGTTTTGCCAACGGCTTCATCGTTGCGAGCGCCGTCTCGCTCGCTGTCGGCAGCATCGTGGCGCACAAGCTCAACCAGATGACGGAAATTGAGCATGGCTTCACGAAATACCCGCCGCACATCAAGTCGAAGCGGATATCCGTCGCGCCGCGGCCGGTTGCTGGCTTCCTTGCGCCCAAGGAGTACAAGAAGCTTAAGTTGGTGCGCAAGGACACCCTGGCGCCCAACGTGTACCGTTTCGTTTTCGAGCTGCCGACGCCTCAAACCGTCCTTGGCCTGCCCATTGGCCAGCATGTGGCCATCAAGGCGCAAGTTGGTGAGACGGCCGTCACCCGTTCCTACACCCCCACCTCCAACAACAAGGACCTCGGCCGCCTGGAGCTCGTGATACGCTGCTACCCGGACGGCCTTCTGACCGGCAAGTACCTCGCGCACCTGAACGTCGGCGATGAGGTTGAGTTCCGCGGCCCCAAGGGCGCCATGCGCTACCGCAAGGGCTGGGCGAAGCGCATTGGCATGATTGCAGGCGGAACGGGTATCACGCCCATGTACCAGGTGATCCGGGCCATCTGCGAGGACGAGCGTGACACGACGGAGATTCGGCTGATCTACGCAAACCGTAGCGAGGGCGACATCCTGTTGCGCAAGGAGCTGGAGACATTTGCGCGCCGCTACCCCAAGAACTTCCGCATGTGGTATATGCTGGACCAGGCGCCGGAGGGCTGGGAGTACGGCACCGGCTACGTCACGGCGGAGGTTATGCGCGAGCATTTGCACCCCGCTGGCGAGGACTCCAAGGTCATGCTTTGCGGACCGCCGGGTATGGTCAACGCGGCCAAGGGCGCGTTGGTGGGTATGGGCTTCCAGGCGCCGGGCGCGGTGGCAAAGATTACGGACCAGATTTTCTGCTTCTAATCGGGGTGTGAGTTTGTGGGTGTGTAATTTCTGCCGTGGATGCGGTGATACCGTTTGGATTTAACGGGTTGGGGTTTATGGGTTGTTGCCTGGGTGTGTTTGGCTACTACTATATCTAGGGCGCGGGATTAGACTTGGGTGGGCATGACTGCTGCATTTTTTGCGGATATCTACTATATATCGTTTGATTCAATTGTACATTTTAAATTGTTCAGAGAGGTTCGAAGTGCTTGTGATAGGAAACAATGATGGTGGACGTCAAGCTTCCAATGCCTGTTTCGCAGACACTGCAACATCCCAAACAAACACCAGAACTATAATGCGAACTCTACCATCTGCACGCAAACTACCACATCTACACAATCCATCTCCATCTACAGACACAACAAAATACCGACATCACTCTAACGGCGCACCGCCGCCAGCCTACCCGGACAGCCACAGCGCCACAACCCGCGACTCATGACCGCGCCACACGTGCATGTGCGTCATCTTGCATCTCGCATCTCGCCCCGTCACTCGCTGTGCGGCTCTGCGCCGCCACTTGACGCCCAACAAATCCAGGGCCACGCAAATGCAGCGTCACAGTCGGACATCAACTTGACGTTGGCTGATCGAGGATCGTGAAAGTCATCGAAGTGATGGCGAGGTTACGTTGCGAGCATGTCATAAACGGTGGGTTGGGGTACCTGACTAGCTGGGGAGGAGCGCGGGCGGCGGGCTCTATTTCGAAGATCAAGCAACAAGCGCGACAGGGCTAAGGGGTGATGCGCTGGCCGCCCGCCGGGCCACCAGGGCCGCCTGCTGAGGTACGTGTTACAACAAGTAGGTGTCTCGGCACCGAGGCGTTTGGCGGCTCGTAGTTGCGGGAGACGCTGATGATGAGAAAACACCAGGATACACCGGCAGGAGGCTCAGACACGGAGTTCGACGACGTGGCCAGCCACTCAGCCTAGCCAGCCTGTTCGTAGGGCTCAGATTCCCATTCGAAACCAGAGGCACGAGCCGCATTGGAGAGGCGGCGGCGCATCCTCGGCAGGGGGGGCCGTTCGACAAGCCTGTACGAAATACAGGCCCTCCCCGCACATCTTTCGCGTCGCTTCTTACCTCCTCCCACACTCTTGTATCGGCACCCACGCCCACGGCGCCGGATTACTGAACCCCCGCCGGGGGGCCGAGATTGGGGGGCAAGGGACGCGCGCTCGGCCCGAAATACTAGGCTGGCTTCTGGAATTTGCGCGGATGCGTTGGGAACGCGATCTACGCGCAGGCGGCTTTGCTGCGGGCAGGGCTCGGTCGTCCGACACGCGATTGCGAAGCCAAAGCTCGGGGCATGCGCGGTCATGTCATTGCCGGTAACCTCTACGGATAGGTAGCATGGAAAGGTCTGGCTCGCACGCTGACGCTGCGGCATTCGTGCGGCGCGTAAGAGCCGTCTGGCGTCATGCGTGCCCGGACGGCGGTGCTGGTGGCGGTACGTACTCTGGTTTCTAGCGGTGCGGTACGGTGCAAGCGTGGGTGTGGGCTTGGGGGGAAATCACGCGGTTGTGCGGAGGAGGCGGATATAAGGTGAGTATATAACTGGCTGGTGGCCTGGCTTTGTGAGGTTGTAGGTATTCTGTTTCAGCCCTTTTCTCTGTTGTCTGTCTGTCTATATACCCCAATCTGTGTTTTCTCTCTCTCCCCCTCTCCTTTGGAATCTCGTCCTCAGATCAGTGTCATTATGCGCGCACCTTGGACTCCCCCGCAGGCGTACGAGAGCCGGCCCATTGCCATTCTGGGCGCTGGTGTGTTGGGTCGTCGCATTGGTAGGTAGGCCGCAGTTACTTCTTCGTGATCTTGCGCTGACAATAAACAGCAACTTGCTGGGTCTCCGCCGGATGGACCGTCAAGATGAGAGACCCTAGCGTCGAGCAGGGCGAAGCCGCCGTCAAGTTCGTTGAGGAGAATGCGCCATCATATGCTGAGAAGACTGGCCGCGCGCTGGGCAAAGCGGAGGCATACGAGAAGCTGGAAGACGCTCTGGAGGACGCATGGCTGGTCATCGAGGCCGTCCCGGAGAAGCTCCCCATCAAGATCGACACGTTTGCCGAGCTGGAGCGCCTTGCGCCCAACGATGCCATCCTGGCCAGCAACTCTTCCTCGTACAAGTCGTCGGAAATGCTCGACAAGGTCTCTGATGACACCAAGGCCCGCATCCTGAACACGCACTACTACATGCCGCCGACGGCGATGGCGGTCGAGCTGATGACGGACGGATACACTGCGGAAGAGATCTTCCCTTTCCTGACGGAGAGGCACAGCGAGGCTGGACTGGTGCCCTTCACCGTGGCCAAGGAGTCGACGGGCTTCATCTTCAACAGGCTGTGGGCTGCCATCAAGCGCGAGATCATGACCATCATGGACGACGGCGTTGCCACGCCCGAGACTATCGACGCCATGTGGGCGACCATGTTCGGCACGGAGAAGCCGCCGCCGTGCAGACTCATGGACAGTAAGTTGGCACTCATAGGGACGCGACAAAATCTGGCAGATACTAACAACGGATGTAGGTGTCGGTCTTGACACTGTCGCTTTCATCGAAGAGCACTACATCAAGGAGCGCGGCCTCTCGGGCGAAAAGACGGTCGACTTCCTCCGCAAGAACTACATCGACCAGGGCCGCCTGGGCAGCAAGTGCGCCAAGGGCGGCCTGCACCCGCCGGCGCCACCGGCGGCGACGACCAGCTCTGCCGCGGCGAAGCAAACCAGCGGCCCCCGCATCCTCGCGCTCGACATCGGCCTCTCCAGCGTGACGCACCCGGTCAAGAGCGCGGGCTCGGTGCTCGAGCTGAGCGCCGACGGCAAGATCACGCGCGTGCTCGCCGAGCGCCAGTCGCTGCCCGACGGCATCGACATCAGCCCGGAGGGCGACCGCATCTTCTGGACGTGCATGGGCGACCCGGGCGTCAACGACGGGGCCGTCTACTCGGCGAAGCCCGACGGCAGCGACGTCAAGGAGATTGTGCCGCGCGGCGCGGTCAACACGCCCAAGCAGCTGGTGGTGGACCCCGTGAACCGCAAGCTGTACTTCTGCGACCGCGAGGGCATGCGCGTCTTCCGCTGCGGGTTTGACGGATCGGAGCTGGAGAACATAGTCAAGAACGGCGACTGGGAGAAGGACGACGAGGATGTCTTCAAGTGGTGCGTCGGCATCTCGGTCGCGCCGCAGATGGGCAAGTTCTTTTGGACGCAAAAGGGCCCGTCCAAGGGCAACAAGGGCCGCATTTTCTCGGCCGGCATCGCCATGCCGGCGGGCCAGACGGCAGAGACCAGATCCGACATCGAGGTCGTTGTCGACGCGCTGCCCGAGCCCATCGACCTCGAGCTCGACGAGAAGTCCTTGACGCTGTACTGGACGGACCGCGGCGAGCTGCCCAGCGGCAACACGCTGAACAAGGTCGCGCTGACGGCGGAGGGCAAGGCGGCGGGCAAGCACGCCATCCTGGCCAAGAACTTCAACGAGGCGATTGGCTTGAAGATTGACCATGCGAATGGCCATATCTACGTCGCGGATTTGGGTGGCAGTGTCTATCGCTGCAAGATGGATGGGTCGGAGAAGACGCGGCTGTTCTTGGATGACGAGCGCGCGATTACGGGCGTGGCGCTGTTGTTCTAGCTTGGTAAGTAGTAGTAGTTGGATGAGTGTATACTGTATTGATAGATAGATGTAATGGACATATGAACTTGAGTCAGGTACGCACGCACTACCTACCTATTCTTCTGCAGTGCTCCGCCGTCCGCCCTCAATCTCATTCATCGTGCCATGGCCTGACCTGACGCCCCCGGACGCTCGGGCTACATAGCTACGGCACGGCGATCGGCGGGAGCGGATCGCGCGTTAATCTTGCGTCCTTCCCGCGTCGAGATCTCGGGTCCCCACTCCCCTCCCGGAAAGCTTAACGCTCGCGTATCGAACATGCATCATGTCACCTCCACCTTATATATATGTAGCACCGTACCTACTACAGGTACCCACTCCTCCCCCACCACCACCAAAACCCAACAATGGCGCACGACACCCCCGCCCCCCCACCACCACCACCAACACCCATCCTCATCATTGGCGCCGGCCCCGTCGGCCTCTTCCTCGCCCTCCTCCTCGCGCAGGCCAACCTTCCCGTCCTCCTCCTCGAAGCATCCACATCCCCCGACCCCGCCCCCAAAGCGATGACGCACCTGCCGAGCATCCTGCCGGACTTCCGCGCCGCGGGCGTGTACGACGCCCTCGTTGCTGCGGCGCGAGGGCTTGTGGATCAGGGGATTTGCTTTCGCGATGCGCAGACGGGGGTGGTGCTGGCAGAGATGCCGAGGCCGGGTAAAGGCGTTGGTGAGGGCCCCCTCACGGTCCCCCAGCCCACCTTCTGCAATATCCTGCGCCAGAAACTGCAGGAGTTTCCACACGTCACCCTCCGCGCCGGCGTCGCGGTCAAGAGCCTCACGCAGCAGCGCAACGGCGTCGAGGTCCTCGCTGAGGCCTTCTCCTCTTCCCCCTCTTCCTCAGACACCCTCACCTTCACAGCCCGCTACGTCGTCGCCGCCGACGGCGCGCACAGCGCTGTCCGCACTGCCGCGGGCATACCCTTCGAGGGCGCGACGCTCCCGCGCAGACTTGTCGCGTGCGATGTCAGGTACGACTTTACGGGCCGCGCGGGCTGGGTCGGAGGGAATTTTCTGGCGGGGAGGGAGTGGGCGGGCTTGGTGGGCCCGATTTTAGCTCCTGAGGCGGGGGCTGAGGGCGAGGGCGAGGATGAGGGCGATGGTGTGGGCGAGGGAATAGGAGAGGGTGTGGGGAACGGGAAGGGGAAGAAGACTGTTGGGTTGTGGAGGGTGTCGTTCAGCGTCCCAGAAGAAGAATGGCTCGATACACCCGCCGCGCTGGACGCGCTCGTGCGCCAGCGCCTGGGAAAGATGCTCCCCGAAGGCGGCCCCGATCCCCTCGACGCCTGCACCATCGAGCGCGTGGCGCCGTACCGCGCGCAGCAGCTGTGCGCCGCCACGTTCAGGAAGGCCAATGTGCTGCTTGTGGGGGACGCCGCGCACTGTACGTCCGCTCCCTTTCCCCCATTCCCTCCCCTCCAACTCACCCCCCACACCCCCCATCTCAGCCAGCTCAGCTCGCCTCGCTAACGCACAAGCAGTGACAAACCCCTACGCCGGCCTCGGCCTCAACACCGGCCTGCTCGACGCTTCGTCCCTCGCCACCGTCCTCTCCGCGCACCTGCTCCGCGGCGCCCCACCCCAGCTGCTCGATGCCTGGGCCCGGGCCCGCAGAGATACGTTTGTGAATGCTGTGGACCCGGTTTCTCGCGCTGCGTTTTGGAGCTTGCTCGATCCGGATGTGGCGACGCTGCGAGAACGGCATCCGGTGCTGAGGGCTGTGGGTGGTGGGGCGGGTGGTGGTGTGGGGGGGAGGGATGGTGCGGTGAAGGGGAAGCCAGCGAAAGGACCGATGGCGCTGAGGACGGATGTAAGGGCGCTGGAGGGGTGGGTTGACTAACTCTGTCCTTGAATCTGTGGGGGCGTTCTTTTGGGCGGGGTGGTTGTGCATGGGTGGTTGTAAATGGGTGGTTGTAAATCATAATAGTAATAGTTGAAGTCCTGTGTCTTGCGGGGGCGAAGATTGCTTCGCTGTTAATGCGTGCATTCTTGGGCGTGGAGAGTGTGGAGTGTGGTTGTGCTGCTGTCCTTATGAGTGAGATAGGTAGCTATTAATTTACTACCTACAAACGTAAGCAAGCGCTCGCATCTCTGTATAGGTGCGCGTGGGCGCGCCTATGGTATCCTGGTATCGTGGCATCGGCATTTGAAGCGCCTTGGCGTGCTTTGGGTTACGCGGAAGGGAATCTGCGCGCTGAGGATTCGAATGGTTGGGATACGTGTCTCTGACCGTAGTGTGGAGCTTAGAATGGAAGGTGTAATGGTTCTGTGTCTTGCGGTTCAGTGTTGTTGAAATTGCTGGGGGGTGTAAGGGATCTGGCGCGGCCCATGGGTTCGTGTGCACTGTATTGGGATGTAGAACGATCTCGGTCTGCTTTCAATGTAAGTGACGCCCTGTGCGGACCGGTGAATGCAGAAGTTCGAGCTTGGTGTGCCTTGATGGCATCTAATGAATCAGTGTCTGAACTCGTCAGCTGCAAGCACTGGTGCATTATCGCAAACTGGTATGTATGTATGCAGTAGATCTATCTGCGTCCTTTGAATTGGCATTGTATACTACTTCACAAGCATCTCACACATCCAAGCGCACACAAGCAAAAACCAACAGCAAAAAAATCCCCCAAAAAGGATCCACCGCCTCCAGGGACCGCAGGCCCCAATTATCGAACCCGCCTGAGCCGTACTACGCGCTCACTCGGATACCAATTGAGCGGTAATATGTACGCAATCAGGCGGGTCCAGGTTATAATATATATGCCCTCATGCCTTTTACGCAAAGCCCCTGGAGGCGGTGGGGGTCGAACTGGTTGTGTTACCACTTGTAGTATGAGGCTGTTAAACCACTACACCAGCCCGCCCGGGTAAGGGATGGATCTAGCTGGCTTGCTTATAGGCCTGTGTGAAAGGCGGGGTCACGTCATTCGAGGGCCGCGCTTTGTTCGTGTTAAACATGTTGCTGGATCCGGTTAGCGCGGCTGGCTGGGTGACACTGACAACGTCTTTGTTTCTTGCCTGTACGTACGCAGCTCAAGACAAGCAGCTCTCTCGCTGCTTTCTTCGCTCTCGACTCACCCGACCACACCATAGACACCACCACCACCACCACCATGACGACCATGTTCCTCTCCCCCGGCATCAAAGCCCACGCCGCCAACACCTTCCTCGCGTACCTCAGCGCCGAGGCCCGGGATCGCGGCATCTGGGACGGCGAGGGCGGGGCCCTCCTCCCGCGCGCCCAGTTTTCTGCCGTCTGGGCCGAAGTCGTAAGTCCTCAGCCAGCGTCTTTCTCGCCTTGTTGACTGTTGAGTCGAGCGAACGTGGCCGGTCGTTGACAAGAAAGTGCAGGAGCGCAAGATCGAGGACGTCGGTGTCGAGAGGGCGGCTAGCCATACGTGTCGCTGGGCCCCCGAAGGAGAGAAGTTGGTATGTTGCTGCGCCTGAGTTGGGCGTGCTGATGGGGGGTTTCGCTGACGGGTTTGCTGTAGGGGCTTGTTTGGAGGGAGTTTCGTCCTTGACGGGCAACGAAGTCGGCGATGGGGCCTTGTAGCCGTTTTATGGCTTCAAGCGGATTGAACTCACTGATCTTAGCCTGGTCGGCCGCTTGGTCTGGGCTGTTGACTTAGCGCTGTACATTCGTATGAGCTCGGAGTACTAGTTTTTGTGGTTGGCTCATGAAGGGAGACGGTAATGGCGTCACGAGTTCTATGACTGGGAGGCTGAGTGCCTGTGATGGGGGGGGAGGGGGGGGTCGGCATAACGAGCGGCTGCTTGGTAAGGTATACCTTCTAGCTGGTCGATTATTTCACACGCTTTTACAACAACCATAGGCTGGATTGAACGTGACCAACCTCCAGGAGTGACAGCCCGCTGTGTTTGATGGTCGGGTCGCAGGATACGGTCCAGAGCTACTGCTCATATGACTACTGAGTAAGTTGGCCCTCTGTCCGCTTACTTGTTCATAGCCTTCGATCAGCGATCTGCGCCTCCTCCACCAGAGCAAACATTCTTCACCACTATGCCAAGAAGTCACGATACGCACTAAAATTGCAGTCCTAGCCGGACCACGCGTCCCAGACTGATCACCAGACTTACCAATCTTCAACCTCAGGCTCACCGGCCTGCCGAGGCTCATGTCCCAGACAGCCCTACCATGTAATCCAGACCAGGGCCACTTATTTGGAGGGATCGACGAACCGCTAAGGCTTTTGATACTGGACTACGGCCCGAGCCATGTCACGCCCTGTTGACGATCAGGCCTCGTTGGCATTGATGCCTACTATTGAATCTCAGCCCCAAGATCACCTCAGTGTTTGTCCAGAAACTGTGCATACATTCAGGCTTAGACCTTGCCACAATAAGCTTGTCTAGAAGTATATAAACGCCCTTACATTGTCCCCAAAGACTGTCTACCACCACACACCGAACTCACAAACACACACTAACTGCACGGCCAACTCCACAAAACCAACAGTCAACACCACAAGCTCAATATCGCGAACATGCCTAGATACACCTTCAATGGCACCCCCGAGCAACGGGAAGCTGAGCAACTGGAAGAGCAACTGGAAGCCGAGTACAGGAGACAGTACATCACCGATTGCATGACCCACCTCAGCAATGAGGCCAACGATCTGGGACTTCGGCGCGGCCACGGTCTACTGCCCGAACATGCTTTCAGAAAAGTGTGGGAAGAAGTTGTTAGTTTCACATCCTGAACGTCAACGACATACAGCGGCAGGATATTAACCAAGCCAGATCGACACCATCAACAACGCGCACTGGTATTGGATCGAAAACGAGCTGATCATCCCACAATAGGTTATCATTGGAGACGACCTCGTATGCGCAGCTGTTTTAGAAGGAGGAATGTGCCGGAACTGGCTAACATGCTTACAGTCTATTCGTTGGGAGTTTCTTGAAGAAGAAGAATGATATGACTGAGGAACTGGCCGCTTATGCGCGCAAATTGCTGGCTGCGGAGTCTGGATTGGAATTTTGGTGCTGCGGGCGCAGTATTTGGGGTGAATCACAGGCACAAATTGGATTGGACATGGTAAATCGTGGGTGCCGAGGATCGCGGTACGGCTTACGAACGACCTACGACTTACGACTTTCTTGGATTTGGTTCTTACACTGCCTCACCATCCAGGTACTGCTGGTTGGTTGGATCACGGACTGGCAAGCAACGTAAGCGTGCTTGCACTGTTGTTATCGAAAGTTTGCATTGCGTCCTGCAGGCAGAGCTCACTTGCCTGCTTAGCGCTTGCCCCTTGTAGTTAGTCTTGCTTAGTCTGTTGCTGCTGCTACATCTGTGGCCAGCAGCGCTCGTTGCTCGATCAACAATTACTCTCCTTTGTCTCGTTGTTCAACACATTGTGCAAACTTGCTAAGCTGTAACTGACCAGCTCTTTGTTAAGTAATGCTGCCGCGCCAGCTGAATCTTTGTTTGTGTTTGCCCCAGCTGCAGGAACCTAAAGCTTTGTTTGGAAAAAATGTTATAACATATCGCTTAAAAGCCCTCCTCTTCACATAGTTACGAAAGAGTGTGTTAAGGACGTTGCATATATATACTTTGTACCGCAGTATTGCCCATCATTCCTTTGCAACTCTCCGCACACGACCATCGCGTCTTCTACTTCATTTCGTTAAACTTCTACCAGTCATTCGATCCACGCTATATCACCTTGAGGCTAAGCGCCTCACTCTACCAACGAAACATGTTGCCGACATCTCTCACAAGCAGATATAGGCAGTACAAAGACGACACCAATGCTGTAGCTTCTTGGCTTACGACCACTGCTCAAGAACGCGGTTATTCCAAGAATTTTTCCGAGAAAGATACCGGAAAAGACACTGCCCTACCACCAACCTCAGGAAAGTTGAAAGGAAAGGCACGGAAGGAGGCACGAGCGGCTGCAGGACAGCCGCCAAAAGGTTCGGCAACATCTGGAAGCCCGTACATTGTCACTACCAAAGATTTCGCTAACCTGGCAAAGTACGTTGTTGGTGCCAGCAATGTTCAGGTGCCTCGACGCATTTCCAATGCGCTTGATCGGGCGATCACCGTTCGGAAAAGCTACAGCGCCCAGATGTCTTCAATTTCTTCTTCTATGGACATCAAGGATTCTGAATCTAATCAAAAGCACAACTTTTTCATCAGTGTCCTGGAGAATGTCTGAGAGATCCTACGTCCGCGGATGCATACTGGTAAAATGAGTAAGCGGCCTTCCAATCTGGAGGCAGAGGTAGTTTCTGATGGCGAGTTCGTCAATTCTTTCTCAGAGTTGCATGTTGATGATCCATCCGAGGAACTACAACTTCCTGATACTCCTCTCCCGACAACGGCAACGGCAACGGCGAAGCCCGACCACAAGGACCACAAAGCCGAGTTACAGCAGGATCATGACGATGGCGTCCTAGCTTTCCTCATGCTCCTCAAAGACTATCGAGAGCTCCGTTCCGTCATCTTCGAGATGTGGAGAGGGTACCGCGACCACAAGAGAGATTTGATTAGTGTGTCCATCACGACAAACACTGCGATCGATTTCGCACGGTGCTTGGAAGAGGATGTACAGGAAATGATTGAGAAGGCTGGAAGTATTGATGCATTGCTTGAAATTGTGTACAAGTCTCAATGCCAGGGTATTGGAGAAGATCCGCTCGACGAAGAGATGAACTCCGATAAATACCAAGCAGCGGACAATATATTCTGGACGGCTCACAGCTTGGTAAAGGACTTTCATGGCTCTTATGAGCATTCCAGCGATCAGAGCACGGAAAGCACAAAGCGTCCTTATGAAAATCTCAACGATGCGAGAACAGTGATGTGGGATCAGCTGCGGAATGCCCTGAACCAGATTACTCTCTTCTTCGAGGTCACGAAGAAATCCGCCGCACCCACCGAGGATAACCTCATGCAAAATCTACGCGAAGTATATAACACGGGCAAGGTGCATCTTACGGCAGCCTTTGCGGCCCATATATTCCTCTGTATCTCTCAAATTCTGGGGGAAGACGCGAAAAGAGGGTTCTCGGAATTGCAAAAGATAGCGCAACAGACTGAAGCTTCACTCAACCAGGCCTTAAAGTTCAAAGAGACTTCCAGCATAGCGGCATGTACCTGTCACTTTCCTGACCTTCAGGCCATCATCGATCAATGGGTAAATGCGGATCCCATCTACGCTAACCACGAAGGCAAGGCTGGCGAACCGTTCTTGCTGATGAAGATGCATCCTTTGTTGTGTGGTCTTTGGGCTTACCATTTGAGGATTCTGTTTCACAACCAAAGCCTGATGTACGCAAATCAGTCATCTATCATCATGGACGCTGCCCACTTGTACAATGCTGTGCAACAAGAGAAGCTCCTAAGCAGCCGCTGGAAGGACATGGAGACCATCTACCGCATTCACACCCAGAAGTCGGTCTTAAGTGGTAACGTCCCGAAGGATTTCGAACAATACCTTCGCCGCTTTAGATTACACCTAGGTTACTCCGCGACTTTCTATGCGAAAAATAAACGCCAGTATACCTAAGACCAAGACCCTGACGACTGCCATCGCAGTTCTAGTCGTAGTAAGAAAAGCCTTAAAGATCGGGCGCTAGTATCTCATTAGTTTAAGAAAAGACACTATAGTAATAGATACAAGACCTTCTCGTATACGGACGTGTTAAAGTTTATAGCCGAGAGCGGGTAGAACTACTGACATTACTAGGAAGCCGACTACCTTAGCTATAGAGCCAGACACGATACGTCGAGTAAGCCCTAAAACACGGAGGTATAACTACCGACTACTCCCCTCCTTCTTTTCAGCTTATATAGAGCTCTATAAACCGAGTAGTTTACGCTAATATTCGAATATCTAACGATAATACGCTTATACTAGATAGTTCTACGCCGGGTAAAGACCGAAGTTAACTAAGAGCTACTAGATCTTTTTAGCTAGGTTAAATACTATCTAGGCGTAGTTCCGGAGAACTAGTATATCGTTAGCTAGGTCTTTAACGCCGGTCTTAGTAATAGGAAGTACCGCTCGAAAAAGAACTATAAGATAAACGTCTATAAGAACGACGTATTTAAGAGGGCGGCGAAGATAGTTAATACTATTATTAATAGGGCGCTTAGAGGACTAGTAACTAATACCTTAGAGACGGAGTATAACTTAAAGCTTCCGGATAACGGCGAGAGTAAGGACGAAGTTAAGGACGAGAGTAAGAAGGAAGCTAAGGATAAAGGCTAGAACGAAGCTACGGACGAAGACAATAACGATAGTACTACTAAGTAGGCTCGATTACCTATACGAAGTTAGTTCTTTCTTAGTAAATAATAATAAAGACTAAAATTTAATATAGGAGTATAAATTAGTAGCGACTATAAATATATTATAATAAATAAAAACTTAGAACTACTTAAAGAATTACTAGCGGGGTCTACCGCTTATATATTATTAATAACTAATCTAACCTCTAAGAGGTAGTATATAATCCCTCGAAGCTTACTAAACTAAAAGAGTTATAATATACTTTCTCGAGGTAGAAGGGAATGTAATAACTAGCGCTCCTAGGGACCTAAATCCGGCGCTAAACGAACCGGTATAGCTAGCTTATCTACCTTCCTAACTTATACTAGGCCCTAGGCCTTAGTTATTATATTATAACCGGAAAATATACTAGTCTTTCCTCCGACCTAGCGGGAAAATTTTTTAGCGTTCCTTACTAAGAAAAACCTCTCCTCTAGAAACTACCCGGAACTATAACCTCGAGACTAAAGAAGTACCTAGCTAATCTCGAGATAGAAACCCGCCCCTCTAATATCTAGGAGGATTCCTCTACGCCCCCCTTAACCCGCCTAAGAATTATCCTATCCTTTCTAATCCTAACGCCTCTCTAATAGGTAGCTAAGTATAGAGGTAATAGGTAGTAGCCTGTAACACGTTATTATAGGCTGTTAGGGTACGGCTTCGACGCGATAAAAATTTTTTATCGACGCGCCGACTACGACTATAACCGCGCTACCTACTATCTCCGCTTAGGTAATACGACTATCTATCTAGGGAGGCCTATTAAGAGAAATAGGAGATAAAAACTAACCGACGTATAACTATCTAGCTCGTAGCTAGGCCCGACGCTAGCCTATCTAGCTAGCCGATATAAACGCGCCCTAGGTATACGATAGGATACCCTTAGGCTTATACTAGCTCTAAGGTCGCTAAGAATACGGCTAATTAATTAATTAATTAATTAATTAATTAATTAATTCGTTTAACGTCTATATATAGTCTAAGACTATAACGGACGATTCTATCTAAAGAACTAACTAGGGAGTATAGAGTTAAGATAAAAGTAAGGTTATATAAGGAATAGTTAAATCTAAGCCGGTGTATAATACGAAGGAAAGAAATAGGTATTGAGAAGTAGTATTAGGTAAAGGAGTAGGTGTCTTTTATAGAGTAAAAACCCTAGGGGAAAACCTCTATAAAAGATAGGGAAAAGTGGTAGAGGCTAGGGGAGGAGTAAAGAGAGAGAGAGCCTAGGGATAGGCTCGAAGAGGCTCGACTCGGAGAGAGAGCCCGGTAATAAAGAGTCTATTTTTAATAGCTCTATTTACCTCTGATGCGGTAGAAAAGGCTAGGTAGATTAAGCTAGAAAGCTTCTTTACCCGGGTTTCTTCGGGGGTAAGCTAGTAGGGAGTTCCTGCTAGCTCTAGACCTTAATTAAAGGTAGTAATTTCTTCTCTAAGGGAGGAGAGCGCCTCTAGAGAGGCGTAATCCCTAGTAGGGAGACTATAAGTAGCTACTTTAAACTAGGTCCGTAGTTTTTTAGCGGATTTAAAAGGGATAATATTATCCTAGAGAGTATTATAGACCTCAAGGGGAATCAACCCGCAGGGTCAGGAAGACCTTATAGGAAAAAGGCCTATACGGGCCTAGAGACTATAGGGGCTTAGTAACTACAAGGGCCCGCGTCCCGTAAGATACTAGTAGATACGTACTAGGTAAAGACCGCAAGGAAACTAAGGCCGCAACCCTAAGAAGCCTATAAGGGATTATCGTCTATAAGGATAAAAGCAGCAAGCCGATAACAAAGCTACAGAGCGATTAAGGGTAAGGAACTTATCGCGTCCGCTCTATAATAAAAAGGAAGGTTATTAGGTCGTAGAAAGTTAGCCGTTAGAAAAGTAGCACGAAAAGTTATATAACTTAGGACGATCCCTACGCACGGGCTAATAGATTAGAACTAATCCATATACCTAATCTAATATCATGATCTAAAGACATAATCTAAGATTATTAGCATCTCCTATATATATTTAGACTACGCTCTCTAGTAGTAGATAGGACCTTCGTAGTCAACTTAAAGTATCAATCTCTACTAAAGGTTAATAGTAACACGCCTACCCCGATATTTACGTAACTTATCTCTTAACTTCCTATACTTCTTATCCTTTAAGGTAAACCCTTTAAACCTACTTACCCGTTAGGCTATTCCGACGCCTAAGCTGAAGAGGCCTCGTTATAGAGAGGCTTATTTTCTAGTAGGTAGCTATTAGAAAATAGGGCGGTAGTTATAAGGACTAGGTTTCCCTTTAGGGAAATAGTACTTGCGGCGAGGATAGGTTCTTTCTCTTTTTAAGTAAAGCGAGAGTTAAATGTATCTCTAAACTCTCTATTTAAGAAGGATTACAGAAGGGTAGGGGCTTAGAGAACTAGTTACCGGCTAGGAGAGAGTAGGGTTCTAGCTTTTTAAGAAGCTAGAATTAAGGTAACTTTACTAGAAACTTTTCTAGCTGTTTAGGAGAGGTTTTAGGCTATAGCTATAGTATAGGTTTAGGGGCGAGTTTTAGTAGTTTTTAGACTACTAGTTAGTTTCTTTATTATAGTAGGGGGTTGGCTAGGCCCTCTCTATATTAGGGGAAGGTAGTTTTCTTTAGTAAAGTTCCGGAAGATTTCTAGAAGGTCTAGAAGTCTATTTTCCTAGGGGCGGGAGTTAGATAGGTCTACTACTTTCTATAGGTAGTTCCTAGCTAGTAGAATAGCTTCGGGAGCTGTTATTGGTGCGGAAGTAGTAGGGGGAGGAGGTAGGAGCTAGAGTTTCTATTGTTTCTATAGGGGTTACTAGGAGGGTTTTTCTAGTTAGGTTTCCGATTATAAGGAACTTAGAAACGAGGGACTAGTCCTTAAGTAATACGATATTGTTACGGGTTACGTAGGTACTAAGTATTATAGACCGTAAGGAAAATCAACCCGCAGGGTCGGAAAGACCTTATAGGAAGAAAGCCCATACGGGCCTAGAGACCTTAAGGGCTTAGTAACCACAGGGGTCCGCGTCCCACAAGGCACCAGCAGACACGTACTAGGAAAGGCCGTAAGGCCACAACCCCAGGAAGCCCACACGGGAACACACCCCGCAGGGACTTAGTCGACCAAAAGGCGACGATTCCAGAGAGCCCGCAGGGGATTAACGTCCACAAGGACGAAAGCAGCAAAACGACAGGTAAACCCACAGAGCGATCGAGGATAAGGAACTTATCACGCCCGCTCTACGATAAGAAGATAGGTTATCAGGTTAAAGAAAGTCAGCTGTCAGAAAAGTAGCACCCGAGTCACGTGCGCCCCACGTGTCGCCCGCAGATCATAGGCACCACTACGAGTGTCGCCCTTCGTCGCCCGGCGACAAAAGGCTACAATCGCCTTTCGTAACAAGGCGACATCAGATTATTAGCATTTCCTACATGTATTTAGACTACGCTCTCTAGCAGTAGATAGGACCCTCGTAGTCAACTCAAAGTATCAATCTCTACTATAAGGTTAATAGTAACACGCCTACACCCGATCCTTCACGTAACTTATCTCTCAACTTCCTACACTTCTTATCCTTTAAGGTAAACCCTTCGAACCAACTCACCCGCTAGGCAATTCCAACGCCTAGGCTGAAGAGGCCTCGTTACACTAAGCCCTTTACCGAAGGAGGCTACGTATAAGGATAAATAGCTACCCTAGGAGTAATAGGCGCTAGGGTAGGAAATAGTTTATATACTAATTTAAGTATAACCCTAGTACGAACTAACTACGTCCAACCTACGTTTCCTAGTAACCTAGTAATTACCCGTCGGCTAACTCTTATATTCTATTTCCTCTCTTTCCGACGGCTCGATTAATATAGTTACCCGATCCTAATTACGATAAACCGGCGGTCCGGAGTAAGAATAGACGAATCCTACCGGTCCCGCTATAGCGCCGTAGTTAGCGCCTAGAGAAGATTTTACCCCCGACCCTAAAACGTTTCGATAGGTTCTAGCTAGGCTATAGGAACTCGAATAGCAACAGCGCGAACTAGCCTAAAATAGCGAACGACGTATACGACCCGCGGAAGAAGAATCGGAACCACCGATATATATACGCGAAAGGAGCGAGGAAAGAAGCGAGGAAGAAGATCGGTTTATACGCGTACCCGTAGCGTACTCGAACCGTACTCGTAGTCTATTAAGTACCCGTAGTAATTTACCCTAACTAAGAGTTAAGGGACCGGGTAACTACTTTAGCAAGTCTATGCAGGAGTATAGCGAATTTATCTATACTTACGAAGTACTCTTCGAGCTATAGCCTCGTACGTTCCGACGTAAACGTAAGAAAGTAGTATATACTTCTACTAAGCTAAAGGGCAACGCGTAGGCGAACTATAGGCGATTTACGCGCGCTATCCCTAGCGACAGGGATGCTATTACCTAGGAGATGTTTAAGGAATACCTCCTTAACTAAGTTCGTAACCTAGTTAATAGAGCAAGCGAATTTAAATATAAGTGGTTTACTACGAAGTAGCGCGACTATTAGTCTACGGCCGCGTTCGCAAATTATCTTAACTTATTAGAAGACGAGTTACTAGGCGGAAGGCCTGATAAAACTATACGACGCGGCGTATTCTTATAGAAACTAACTAACCCCCTTCGTAAAGAAGTATTGCGTATATAGATAATCCCTAAAATAAGGGAAGGCCTAGTAGCGCTTACAACGTAAATCGAAGGCAATACGTACTCTTAGCGCAGTAGCGAGAGAAAAGAAAAAGGGAAAATCCCTAAGAAAAGCAAGTCCTTTAGGAATAAAGACTTTAAATCATACCGTAATCGTGTTTAACCCTATAGGAATAGCCGTAGTATAGGGCTAGCACCCGTACCGTAGGCTTCCCGCAGCTTCAGCAATATTATTTATTTCAACTACGGAGAACAGGGGCACATAAAGAATAAATATCTATAGGATAATAAGGGGAAGAGACCCTAGGCTAATTTAGCTACCGTTTAACTCAGGAACGAGATAAATAGGAAAGCCGAACGTATTATACTTAATATAAGTATACGAGTCGTAGGGAAAACCTACCCTACTAAGGCCCTCCTTAATTCTAGAGTAGCTATAAACTTTATATCCTATAACTTCTTAAAAAGAAATAAACTCGTAGCGGTATAGACACCGGCCCTAAGGGCATATACGGTAGATAGCTATAAGGTACTAACCTATAGTATTATTATATACGCAGTTAGCGTACGCGATTTATATAAGAACCGCGCCGATAATATATCCGTCTTTTATATAGCTGAAATCGCCGGTTACGATATTATCTTAGGATATCTATAGCTCCGCGCCTATAATCCTACTATTAACTAGCGTAAGGGAATAGCCTAACTAAATAACTCCCTAACCGAGAACGCTACTATCGAGGAAGTTACTTAGGCGTTACAAGAAGGAGCTACTATTTACGCGGTATACCCGATAGCTAATACAGGCGAGACGCCTACGGCCCGTTTTAAGAAACTTAACTAGTATTAAACTTAAGATAAACCTAAGTATTAAATTCCGGTAGAATACTCTAAATTCGCCGATATTTTCGATACGGCGTAGGCTAGCACCCTGCCCGTAAACGCCGCGTATAACTATCGTATCGACCTAGTCGACGGTAAATAGCCTCCCTTCGGCCCCCTATACCACCTCTCTAAGACCGAGCTTAGTATCCTACGCGAATACCTTGCGGACAGCCTAGTAAAGGGGTAGATTAGGGAGTCGAATAGCCTAGCGGGCGCTCCTATCTTATATATACTAAAGAAGGGAGGGGGCTTACGGCTATACGTAGATTACTATTATAGACCGTAAAGGAAATCAACCCGCAAGGTCGGAAAGACCTTATAGGAAGAAGGCCCATACGGGCCTAGAAACTACAAGGGCTTAGTAACTACAAGGGCCCGCGTCCCGTAAGGTACTAGTAGATACGTACTAGGCAAGGCCGTAAGGGAACTAAGACTATAACCCTAAGAAGCCTATACGGGAATACACCCCGTAGGGACGTAGCCGACTAAAAGGCGACGACTCTAGAAAACCTATAAGGGATTAATATCTACAAGGACGAAAGCAGCAAGCCGATAAGTAAACCTACAGAGCGATTAAGGATAAGGAACTTATCGCGTCCGCTCTACGATAAGGAAGAAGGTTATCGAGTTATAGAAAGTTAGCCGTTAGAAAAGCGGTACTAAAAGTCACGTATAAGACCTACCTTAGATTATAGTAATCCTACGTCTCTAATCTAGAACGTACGGACCTATAGATTATAGTAATCTAACACCTTTAATCCAACCTCCCTAATCCTAAGGTTAGGACCTAGATTGTTAGTATTTCCTACATATATTTAAACCACGCT